TTTGGGGAGAGAAGCTTGGAATTTGACAGAGTCTAGGAGGATTCCAAGAAATTCCAATGACGTAGAAGGGCTTTTGGGTTTTTTTTTTTTTCGAGAGGGGAACTCCTAGTTTGGAAAACATTGTTAGCTTTACAGTGAATCCATATTCATTCCATATGGTGGCGTGACTCCCCTTCTGTCCGGCGTTGACGGCTGCAGTGTACTTGGCGTGTCAGCACACACGACGGTGTGGTCTCCCTAGTGGACCAGCACGACAACCGTCTGGATTGAGCCGAGTAGGAGTAGGGGACATCTCTAGGGTCTTCAAGCAGGCACCTTCCGTCATCAGTGTTTCATCGACTAGTCCACGACACCTCAAGAGGGCTCGACAGTGACTCTGGCGTCCCTGAGTCACCCCCCTCCGTTCCCCACTCAACTCAGCCCAGGTTACTGACTAGATAGGGCCCTATGTAGACCTCTACATTCCTCCTGCTGCTGAGACCCAACCACAATCTCGCACAACCCAACCATACGCGCCAACCCGTTTGACTAAGGCTGTCAAGCCCCACAGGTGCGTTATAAAGCAGTTTCAGTGGCAACGGTTCCGTATGGCATACCACCTACCGCAAAACACAATATCTGGCCAACCACCGCCATTCAAACAATGTATACAGGAACGTAATGACTGTAAATACAATGCAATCTATACAAACAGACTCTTCAAGAATTCTACGAAACCGTAGTGTGGCGGCCTGTACACAGCCAGCCAGAATCTTTCCGCCAGTTGCTGATCCTCTCTGCTGCTTCAGATAAGTTCTTTACTGTGCGACGCAAGTCTTGGCCTCTGAATCCGACGTCTCTGAGGAACCGGGTTGTAGAGTGTGCCACAAAACCTCGACAACCCACTTCCACTGGAAAAACCTGTACTCTCCATCCTCGCTGTTCTGCTTCATTGGCCAGATGAGCATACAGCAGTTTCTTCCTCTCATATGCTTCATCTACTGCATCCTCCCATGGCACTGTTAACTCTATCAGCTGAACAATGCGTGCTGATCCAGACCACAAAATAATATCTGGTCTGAGGTCAGTGCTGGCAATCTCAGGTGGAAAAATAAGCCGTTGATCAAGATCAGCCAGCATCTTCCAGTCCCAAGCAGCTTCCAGTTGTCCTGGGCGAGAATTGGTGTTAACACCTTTTCTTGGTGGTTGCTCGCCTGGGTGGAGGAATATTGTCTTCTGCGTGTCATGTTTTGCAGGCGGCAACTTATTGGCCATGCTACGCTTGCCTTCCCAATGCTAAAACCAAACATCGCTGTACTTGGTCATGGCGCCAAGTAAACCGACCTTGGCTAAGAGCCACCTTAAACCCTGTCAGAATGTGCCTTAATGTGGCAGGTGATGAACACAAAGGACAAGAGGGATCCTCTCCTACCCAGAGGTTTAGGTTCTGCGGTGATGGGAGAACATCATATGTCGACCTAATAAGGAAACTGATCCTACTCTCTTCCATTGACCAAAGGTCTTGCCGGCCCATCTTGCGTTGTTCCACACCCTCCCATCTCATCCACTCTCCCTGCTTGGCCAGGGAAATGGCCTTTATACACCTCATCCTCTCCTCCTGCTTTCGCACCTCGTTGACTACTTCCTCCTTTGAGCTGGTGACATTTAGGAGCTACACTAAGCCCAAACCCCCTCTTCCCTGCTGTACATGTCCCACAATATCCCCAATTTGAAGAGGCAGCCTTTGCCTCTACTTCAGATTTCTTGGCTGACCACTTCCTACCAGTTTTTAACACAGGGGCTGCCTCCCTTACACATTTGTCATTTCCAGTCTGACCTTGGCACACTTTAACTACCAAAGGGGTCTTTAAAGCAGATTCATGATAAAAATGTTCTTGTCCTTAGTGACCATCTGAGAATTTTACACACATCTTTAAAAAATACAATTCTTGGAAGTATTTTAGAATAGTCACTACACATATTGCAGAAAAATTAAACATTAAATATTTGAGTCGCAGTGTCAGTATGTAGTTGCCTATAACAGTTGACAAACTTTTTTTGTTGCAGTTATATCAAAATGTTGTTCAGCTTTGACACTAGCAGATACATCACACTGATAAAATATATAAACTGAAACCAATAGTTGTTTTATTGAGAAAGTATATTGTTTTTACACCTTTGTGCTGATGTGAAATGATGCGTGTTCAGCTTTTTTTTTGGTCAAATCAAAACAGCAACAAAATATTAAAGAGACAAGACAACTTTACTTAAATAAACAATTTATATCTCACATTCAAAGTTGTCATATAATTTTTTCTTAAAAAAAATACCCATCCATGCAACAACAATAAAGATAAAAGGATCTTTTTCAGGATGAGGGGTAATAATATTCTTTCTTTATATGCCAAATCTATGAATCAGTGTTCCTCTCTCTTGGTTCGGCACAAAAGAAAGGTTTAGATACACAAACCAGCTACACTTTAATCATGTTAGTAATTCTAAATGTAACTTGTGAGAGAACACATCACATCACGCATGAGGCATTTGTTGTTCAAATGTTTCCCTTCAACGATTACGGAAATGAGCTGATGTGCTGTGATGCCTCTGTTATTAAACATTAATGCACTCGATACACTCCTGGACATCCCAGTTATGGCTATTGACCAAAGTCACACGTCTAAACACAGACACATCCCTACGGCACAACTCCGCATAGATGCCATGTTGATTTATGATACACCACATGTGACCAAAGCCAATAAATGTAGGACAAGACGAACGAACGAACGAACAAACAGTTATTACAGTATATTTGCTCCACTGCTACTACAGGCGGATGTGATGTCTTCTGTTTTCCCAGAAAAAGTCCATGTTTCATCAAGAGGTTGACACTATAGTGCAATAAATGATTCATCTAGACAGAGAACATGCTGAACGTGTCATTCTCACGAGGACCAACCGGGACGAATCTTGCTACATTTGCTGATGGCAAATCGTCACTGTGTATCGGTGTAGTTAAAAGACAACCCTTTAGAATGAATACAAAACAAAACCAAATGAAAAGACATGCTCTTGTAATGGTTTATAATCATTTACAGTGCAGATGTTAGTGAGCACGAACTAAAGCAAAGATACGTTTCTTAATCAGCCAATTTTCAGCAAAAAATCCAAATATGCCATATAAATGGTGAAGCAAAATAGTTTCAAATATTAAAGAATTATTTTTATAAGGATTTGCCAATGAGGTGAGAAATAAATTTGAGACTTTTTTCTGTTTTGACAGATTAAGAAAATTATGTTTTTTGCAGTGAGGTTTTCTTCTGTAATGATAACCTCGTTGCTGACAGGAACAAAGACTTTGTAACACAAGGATAATCTAAATTCAAGACTACAAATATACTATCCCAACAAATATGTAAAAAACTGTCAAATTTAATGATTGTTCTAAATGTACAGAGTAAGATAGCTACCAAAAAAAAAAAAAAAAACATCACCTGACTGGTTAAATAGACAAACATAACTAAGCTGTCCATTCAACTATTGCCATAAGGCCAGATCCATCATCTAGTCATCAGAGAAGAGTGGTTTAAAACCACCAGCTCTACAATAAAGCTTTAACCAGCGACTCCATTCCCTTTAAACCCCTGGAGAAATGCAGCTCACATTCCAGCCCCAAACAGCACAAGAACATCACATTACTGCATCCAGATATATTTAAAACCAGTAAGATTGTGTTTGCATTGTGTCATTATTTTCATAATTAAAGGAGTAGTTCACTTTTAAAAAACTTTAGCTGATAATTTACTCACCACGTCATCCAAGATGTCCATGTCTTTCTTTCTTCAGTCGAAAAAAAATTAAGGTGTTTGATGAAAACATTCCAGGATTTTTCTCCATATAATGGACTTCAATGGGAACCAAACGGTTCAAGGTCCAAAAGACAGTTTCAGTGCAAACTGTTCAAAGGGCTTTAAACGATTCCAGACGATGAATAAGGGTCTTATCAAGCGAAACGATCGCTCATTTAATAAATAAATAACAAAGTTTAAGTTTTATAAGCACAAATGCTTGCCTTGCTCTGTTCTGTGACACGCGCTCGTGACTCTTCTGTTCAAACTCGTTCATCGAAATGAACAAATCTTTTCCCGAATCAACTCGTTCATTTCGTTCGTTGAATGAACCAAATGACACAAAAAAGATTTGTTCATTTTGATAAACGAGTTTGAACAGGAGAGTCACAAACACGCATCACAGAACAGAGCAAGGCGACCTTTTGAGTTTATAAAATTTAAACTTTGTTATTTATTTTTTAAATGAGCGATCGTTTTGCTTGATAAGACCCTTATTCATCGTCTGGAATCGTTTAAATCCCTTTGAACAGTTTGTAGTTTGCACTGAAACTGTGTTTTGGACCTTGAACCGTTTGGTTTCCAATGAAGTCCATAATATGGAGAAACTCCTGGAATTTTTTCATCAAAAACCTTAATTTCTTTTCGACTGAAGAAAGAAAGACATGGACATCTTGGATGACATGGGGGTGAGTAAATTATCAGCAAAAGTTTTTTTTAAACTGAACTACTCCTTTAAGCATAATTATAATATATCAATAAATGGAAAACACAATCAGTGTTTCTGGAAGATTTAGGTAGAAAATAATGGCACAAAAATCTTAAAGGTCCTAAAATAGGCTTTGTGATTTCTTGTGAACTTTGGGTAAAATGTGACCTGGGCATTTCATCTTGTGATTCACACACACACACACACACACACACACACTCTCAGACACGCTCTCACACACACACACACACACACACACACTTTAAGAGAGACCCTGACAGCGGACGTGCCCTGAGCAGCTCCTGGTTCATGACTGCAGTTCTTCAGCCGGTCACATGATGGCGATGAGTCCGCGTGATGAACACACTGAAACTCGGGACATCAGAGTCAAGAACCCGCCTCCATTTCTGGTGCACATGAATCCCTTATGGCTCAAATACTAACTGAGAAACAGAAAACACACCTTTAGGTTTGCGTAATGTGCAATATTTATAAACATCGTTGCTTTTCTATGAAAATGTCAACAGTCTGGAGGGAGTAGCTTCGCATGTTGGACTGCAGCCGAAGGGCCGACCGGTTGGCTACTGGTTCTCCTCGCGGATCTGCTGCAAGATGTTGATGAGGCTCTCGAGTCCGAGCACGTATCCGCGGTCCGGGCCGTCGTGGACGGTTTGGTCATCCCGGAAACCCTTGAATGTGCTGTGGGCGAAGTCTATCATGCGCACGTCCACACTCAGTGCCCGAGGCTTGTCCTGAGAGGCCTGGCTCTCCTCCGAGGGGTCTGCGACACACTCCGGGTCCTTGCCCTCGTAGATGATGAGCAGAGAGCTGGAGTAGAAGCGGTACGAGGCCTGGCGCTCCAGCACACTCTTCAGGCTGCACAGTTTGCTCAGGATGGGCTCTAAAAGGTCCTTGCGCAGCTGCGTCCCATTGTGCATGAACTGAAAGAGTGCGTTTCGAAAGCCCTCGGTGGAGAGACCCCGGCCGTAGTACTTGTTCCGGCATAAATAGTGACCCGTGTCCATCTGGAACACCTGCAGAATGAGCACAGGAGACAAGCTTTGGTCAATGTGGAAATCATGCCTCCAGGCTTCATTATACCGTCTTCCATTGGCTTTTGCCTTCAACCACTGTGCTCTTTGGTCAGGCTGACGTTAATAAGAAAATATACTAAATGTTATTAATGAGAGAGTGCAAAAATAATCCACCTTTCCAAACCATGTCTTAAAGGGATAGTTCACTTTGAAATTAATTTTTGATATGTTTTATGTTACCTCAAGGGCATCCAAGATGTACAGTAGGTGTCTATGTTTCCGCAGTATTTTCAATTTTGATATTTTTAGGTCAAACCGTTCTTGTCTGTCAGTCATATAATGGAGGTCTATGGTCACCACCTCAAAGAGCATGCACAGAGAAGTCCAAATTAAACATGATTTAATGACTCGTAAATGTAAGTACACACTGATGGCCTAAGACACGAAACAAGTGGTTTTTGTGAGAAAACGAACAGTGTTTATATCGTTTTTACCTCTTGTAATCAGTCACGTCCATTATACTCTGAGGCCGTGGGCGCTTCGGTCTGAGCAAGCGCCGGAAGTGATCTCTCACGTGTGTATGCCACTCATTGTTTACACAGAAATTTTGGAAGTGTTATCCTTCACTGTGAAGATCTAAACATATTTAGATACAGGAAATTGCAATGGAAGACGATTTCGATATTTAGATCTTCACAGTGAAGGGTAACACTTCTGAAATCTCTGTGTAAACAATGAGTGACGTACATGCACGAGAGATCACTTCCGGGGCTTTCCGGCGCTTGCGCAGACCGCAGCGTCCGCTCCCTCAGATCACTTCGACTTGACTGTGATTACAAGAGGTAAAAACGTATAAATACTGTTCATTTTCTCACACAAACCGCTCGTTTCGTGTCTTAGGCCATCAATGTGTACTTACATTTATGAGTCATTAAATCATGTTTAATCTGGACTTCTCTGTGCATGCTCTTTGAGGTGGTGACCATAGACCTCCATTATATGACTGACAGACAAGAACGGTTTGACCGAAAAATATCAAAATTGAAAATACTGCGGAAACAAAGACACCTACATCTTGGATGCCCTTGAGGTAAGCTAAAACATACCAAACATTAATTACATTAATTAATATTAAATAGATATATTTGGATAAACCTATATATATATAAATAAATGCAAAAAGGGTCTATATTAAAACCCGAATTAATATTGGCTTGCCTTTTAGAGGTTTGGAAGGATTTAAAGTAACACAGAGACTGCTTTAATTTAACTTAACTGGTAAGATATTTATTGAACCGCCAGATACACATATTCATCATCATGTGTAATGTAAACTTTTGTTACATCATTTATTTAAAAACACCAATGTTTCCAATAAGTCCGAAGGACAGCATTAGATGTCGCAGCTGCTCGGGTGACAGCTTTTTATTTTATTTTTCAGTTGCATTTGTCACAACCGCTCCGTGAAAATGACTAAAAACGCTGTATTATTCATGACCGGACCAGCCAGTAGACACATGCAAACACTTTACGAATGTAGCCGTCATTCCCGCTCTTAAATAATATACTACATTCATATTAATACTTACGTGTGGTGGTTAACAGGGCAGAAATACGCAAACACTAAACGAGTGTTATAATGCAGGTGGAGCAGGAATCAAGGCTTCATCGGGACAGTTTCTCACACAGAGAAGAGCACACACACCACATTTTAAGATGAAGAGGTGCTGTGATAACTAATGTGCTCACTCACAGAATCAGACTCTACTGCTATTTATAAAACACATCTAACGTGACACGTGTGTCAGGTCAGAGCCGTACACACCTGCATACCACACACACACTCCTAATGTTGTGACATGTGTGTCAGGTCAGAGCCGTACACACCTGCATGCCACACACACACTCCTAATGTGATCTGTGTGTCGGGTCAGAGCCGTACGCACCTGCATGCCACACACACGCACTCCTAGCGTGGCAGACGTGCTCTGCTCGCACTTCTTCATCTGGCGGGCGGCCTTCTCCTCGGAGGCGTCGTCCCCGTGCTGCCGCGTGCCCATCTTCAGGTCCAAGATGCATGGGCAGCTGAAGTGGTGGACCACGTTCTCCAGCAGCAGGAACTCTGGAGGAGGCTCAGGTCAAGGACACACACACGCATCTCACTGTCTGAATACTCCATGTGTGTGTGTTGAAACGGTTTAAGGCAGAGCTAGCTCCAGTTTGATCGCTATTGACTGAATGCACATGCTCAAAAACATTCAGGAGCAGAGAACTTTGATTTCAAGGCTGCCTCGTGACTTTCATTAATAAAACAGCGTTGGTACTGAAAAGCTACATCATATTTCTTCACTGCTAGTCATGGATTACTTCTTATTTTACAAACTATCATAATTAGTCTGTGAAATCTTTTTGTGAAGGAAACTACAGAAGGAAAGATCTAATAACCTCGTAGGCCAGACTTTCAGTTGTATCACTGGTCAAAGCCATCTAGAAGAACAGTGTGTTTAGCAATATTCTGCCTGTCTCAGACACTAGTTCTCTCCTCTTAGCACCCGATCTGAATCACTGGTGATTAATGATGAGTTCTAGAGCATTTCAAATGAGTGTCAGAAAGAGATGAGCATCTGCTTCCTACAGCTCAGCTTGAGGAAATGTGACAGAAAGCTATTTTCCTCCTTTTCTTTGATATGTGCACAGCAGAAGATGTTTTCCTTTGTCACGTCAACGGGGGATAATGATAGCACAGTCATAGTCAATGCACCTCAAGGAAGCATGACAACAGAACAGCGACTGCTAATCGCAAAATTATTTTTAGTGTTGATGCATTCATTGAATTGAATGCAACAGTTTACATAAATAAATAAACCAAATAATTTTGACATTAATTTGTGATTAAGCCAGAGACAGACTTGTTCCTGTCTCTTGGTGTGGCGGTACAGTAGTCAACAGTTAGAGTCGAGAGTTTTCTTCATGGGCATCAATAGGGGAGATCAGACACAAAATAAAGTCCAAAATGTTTCCAAGTGGCTCCAATGTTTAAACTGCATTTCATTCTTGTGAATAGACTTGAAAACTATGTTGGCATTAGTGGAATTGCATTAGCATGGTTTAAATCATACTTATCTGACCGTTATCAGTTTGTAGCAGTAAATGAAGAGATGTCTTATCGGTCACAAGTTCAGTATGGTGTACAACAAGGCTCAGTACTAGGACCGCTGCTGTTCACTCTGTACATGCTACCATTAGGAGATATCATTAGGAAGCATGACATTAGTTTTCACTGTTATGCTGATGATACCCAGCTGTATATTTCTTCTCGACCCTAACGAAAGTTACCAATTCACTAAATTAACGGAATGCATTATTCCTAACTTCATATTTCATACGAATGGACCGCTAGAGAAGAAAGTACAACAGTGAACAATCCTGCTTGTTAGTGTGAGGATACTGTAGAGCTTCCTGTCCTTGGACTCGGAGCGCATGCGGCTGAGCTGCTGGCGGTGGCAGCGCAGACTCCAGGGGTTGTGGCTGATCTTCTCTGAGCTCAGGCCACTGTTGCTGTCCAGCATCTGGAACGGCACATCCGAATGCATATGGAGATCCAGAAGAGGACTCTTCAACTCCTGCAGACTGCACACACATACATACTGTTACCCATAATGCAATGCAAGCAGGACACTTGAGAATGATTTGTGACTGCAAACTCTTATAATTAATATATTTTACATGGGAATGTTTGCTTGGCAAGTTTGTTGATTAACACAGATCTACTTGATAGGAAGAACGGTGAAAATAAAAGTGAAATTTAAATTGTCACAACTAATCACATTGGAAACATGATGCCGGTGCCATGATATAGGTTCATACTACTATGAAAATGTCCTCATTATAACATCCCTAATTCATAAACAATGTTAAAATATTTCAAACATATTTACTGCAATTTCCACTTTTTTTCATGACAAAAGTAAACTTTTAATCAGAGAAAAATTGACAAAATAAGTATACGTCATGAAGAAATATTGGCTAAATTTGAAGGATATGAATGATATACAACAATAATAGTTTTATACAGAAAAGTAAAATTACAATACTAATATTTATGAGTGTCTTCATTTCTTTGTTTTTGCTTGTATTTTGAGTGGAAAACCACAGAGAGACCTTAAAGCTACTCATTTCACAACAGACTCATAAACAATTTTCATTAAAGGTGGCTTTGTGTATCAGCGTGTTTACTATGAGCCGAGATGCTTCAAGATGCATGTTAAGAACACTCTGCTGTGTTAACATGTGAAACATCAGACTATGGGCCCTATTTTAACCATCTGAAATGCAAGTCACTTTGTGGGCGTGTCTTGGGCGCTGCTGCTATTTTACTGGCGGGATAAATGACTCTTGCACCCGACGCAAGTTCAAAAGGGGTTGGTCTGAAGTAGCTTCAGTATTCATAGGTGTGGTTTGGGCATAATGTCAAATAAACCAATCAGAGCGTCATCCAACATACCCTTTAAGAGCAGGTGCGCATGTTGCATAGCGGATTGTTATTATTATGGCGAATAATACGAGCGCGGAAGGAGCGTTCACAGCCGAGGAGAACGACACTCGTCAGGGCAGTGAAAGACAGAAGTGACGTTTTATGGGGATGGGAGTTTTTTTTTTTCATGGTTCTTGATCGACAAACAGTACTACAATTAGCCTGATAAATTTGGGTAAATGTGTAAGCTAGATATAGGCCTACATTTTTTTTACACCTTCATGGACACCACAATGATTTCCCTCATGTGTTAATATTTCTCCTTGTTATATTGTATGATTTGCAAAAATAAAAACTATTATACAAAAATAAAAACTATGTGGGTGTTGTGCACCCGCAACATTATGGCCAAGCATGCGTGCTTAAAATAGCATTATGAACAACAACGCGCAATGCGCCACTGACTTTAGACCAGGTTTTTTCTGGTCAATTGTTTTCTGGAACTGTAAAATAGCACCAGGGAGTGTTGTGCCTAATCACGCCTCCTTTTTGCACCGAATTTGCAGACGTTCATTTCCGAGTTTGCGAAATGTCATTCGTCTCAGGTTGGAAACTCCAGAAAGCTGTATTATTGGTAGATATCTCATCCCTGAAGCTGTGTTTGTGTGCTCACCTGTCGGTGCCGTCGGTGTCGTGTGCGGGCCGGTCCTCCTTAATCTCGCTGCTGGAGCGGTGCAGGCTACGGCGAGAGTGTTTCCGGCGAGGCTGATCTCTCTCCGACAGCTCCTCGTGATCCAGACCCTCGCTCTCTTCATACGGGTACGCCACCAGATTAATGTAGCCGTCAGAGTCGCCCTCGAAACAAACCAGCACCACGCCTGCACAACACACACAGGTCAACTATTGACAGCAGCACAGTAAAGAACAAGACTCCAATAATTAGATTGAATGATTGTTTCAGAGGTGATTCTCCGTTAATACATGAACCAAACAAAACAGGTACCAAACATGTAATTGTTCATGTACACACTTCAGTTAAATATAGGACAGTTATTAAATATAGTTACATTCTGTAAAAATTCAATTACAAGCTTCAAATTTGGGCCCGAACAACTCAGTTTACACAATAAACGGCATCTAGTGTCCTGCTGTCCTTCAGGTGTGTGTCTGTCAGTGTGTGCTGATATAAGATCCACCGAGATCAGACACCAGCCTTTCAGATTTTGCATAATTAGGTCATAATTTGGCTGCTTCCAAAGGTGTTTTGTTTAGGCAGAAGCAATTGGTCAGTGATCCAGAGCAGTCAGACAAGACAGGAAGTCCCGTCAGACACTGGCCAATGACGGACGTGACGTGAGTCTGGGATGTGACATCTACGATGAGATAAGAACACTGCGTACTTTAAAACCACAGTGAAAACCATCTTCTCATCCCATTGTTTTACCAACACACACAACACAGACTAGGGCTGCGGAGCTCAGTGAACTAGTGGAAGTTTTAGTTCCCATGCTACACACTGCAAAGTGTCTGGATTGAAACAATATTTGAATACGAGACAGTAGTAACCATAGCAATGGACGAGACAAATAATCTGACACTGTATGTCAGTATGCAAGCATCTTTGCATCATGTCTTGGAATGTAAATGCAAACTAATAAACCCGTCTCACCTTTATTTCTAAAAAGCTTTATGCGGTACATATTGTTTCAAAGCAGCTTTACAGGCATAAACTGTAAAATAATGGTGCAAACAGAGTTCAAGATTGACTATCCAAATAAAGTGTTACCCATTCAAGAACTCTGTACACAGAGCTTTGAGAAAATGATGCATATGATTTGTAATGTATAGGAAATGAATGAAAACGCTGCGACTGCAACGCATCTTCATGTGAACGGCTTTTGGTATCAGTTTTGACATTTTCGCAATAAATAAATTATTGTGATTATACTTGTCTGTTAGTTATGTTTTTCTTCATAATTGTGGTTTACATCGTTTTAAGGAATTGTTATGGGTAGGTTTATGGGTAGGAGTAGGATTGGTGGCTCAAAATATATTTTAATGCTATATTGTTAATAAAACTGCCATTTCCCAACACATCTGTCCATTACGTTTTATACTTTTTTATATTTTGTAAAGGGGTATGTTTAGGTTTGGGATTAGGGTTACGAGATCTTACATTTATCTGTAAAATGGTAAAAAGGGAAAACACACAGATATCTTTATGATATAGAATATACGTAAATAGTTAACGTTAGCTGTAAAAACGTAATAATGTTACGTTTAAATGTTGCGATACGTCTATATTATACGTTTCAGCATCTATCCAAACGTACTAAAAAGTATGTTTTCTATCTTTGCAAAAAACGTAAAATACCAACGTATTAACAATGAGACCAGGCTGTTACCTGGTATTTTCCCTATTGCTCCAGTTTGTGAATGCACTGAACTTGATTTGTAGATATTTATTTTCAGTGTTGTGCAAGTTACTTCCAAACTGTAATACATTAGGTATTACTTGTTACTGTTATTTAAAAGTAATTCATTACCTTACAATATTACTGTCTCAGAATTGTAATGCGTTACATTACTGATGTATTACTTTTGAGTTACTTTCACCAAAATAACTAAGTAGAACTTAACTTTTGGGCTGTAACGATATGCAATATCAAACCGAAATCGCGATTCGCCGCACAACTCAGATCCACGAACCTACAGAATCGCGACACACCTCTTCCAACTCCAGCGTTATTCTCCTTACCGTCCATATCCAATGCTGCCTTATCTTTAAATTAGGCTATTAGTATTATTTGAAGTTAACATTATAAAATACGTAGACCTACACCACAAAACTAGTTGAGGATAAATTATTTAAAATTGGGGAAGTCCAGCATTATGGACATGACATTTGCAGTCAAAACTTGAAATAAATATTCTCAGAAAATACATGTATTGAAACGTATATAGGCTACTTCCTTAAAGGACTCCAGACATTAGACAAATATCAGTCTATGTTTTATTTTTAATATTAGGAAAAGACACACATTCATGCGTGACAAAAAAATAGGAGGCAAAATATATTTTTTGTAATTCTGTTAATTACACTGCGCAAATCGGATGAGGAAGGGTTGGCTCTCCAGTCTCCATAGAACTTAAAAATTCATTTATTTTAGTTTTCGTGTTCGCATTTGTGAGGAAAAAACAATGTTACAGACGCGACCGCTCTGAACTGGCACTAAAAGACTGCTTTAAAACTTTCGCATAGTCTGTTGCCTTTAAGAAGTAAAAGCAGACAATACACTGTAATACAACTGTAATACAAGCCTCACTGAACATGTAACGAGTAAAATATTACAGAAAATTGATTAGTAATGCCTTACACTACTGCGTTACAGCAAAAAAAATGTTACTGTAATGTATTACTTTTGTAATGCATTACTCCCAACACTGTTTATTTTATAACATGGGAGAGTTTGTAAATGCACTGATTTTGTTGATGACTTGATAATTTGTTAATGTGAAGTACATAAGCCATAAACAGTCAACTAAGCTTCACGTGTGTTTCACTTTATTTGGATAGTCACAAGGAACATCTATGGATGATTTGTAGAGTTTGTTAATGCACTGATTAGGTTGCTGACTTGATAATTTGTTGATGTAAAGTACATAAGCTATAAACTGTCAAGCTTCACGTGTGTTTCACTTTATTTGGATAGTCACAAGGAACATCTAAGGAACACAAGGAACAAAAAAAAAATTGATGGTTTAACTTAAAAAAAGTAAGTAACCTGGTTGCCTTAAAATGTTAAGTTCATTGAACTGGAAAAATCGAGTTAATACAATGAAGGAGAATGATTTTTATCATCAGAAACTCAAAATTATATGTTATCTGAACTAAATAAATTATTTAAGTTGATTTGACAAAAGGAAAAATGTTGTGATTACTACACTGTAAAAAAAAATATTGTTGGTTTAACTTAAAAAAGTAAGTAACCTGGTTGCCTTAAAATTTTAAGTTGATTGAACTTTAAAAAGTGAGTTAATACAATGAAGGAGATTAATTTAATCATCAGAAACTCAAAATAATAAGTTATCTCAACTAAATAAATTATTATAAAGTTGATTTGACAAAAGAAAATATGTTGTGATAACAAATCTTGAAAATATTTTTTTACAGTGTAGTTACTTGAATGACATCACATGTGTTGTGAAATGGTTACGGATACATTTGAGATGTTGTGAATACACTCCTAAATATTTGCTGTACGTGTCATATAGAACACCAGATATGAAAAGATACATACAGAGATACTGAAAATCTACAAATGTAAGCAATGCAGCTGATTAGCTATAGATATGTAGATTGCCATAAAGAAAATGAAAATATACATTCAGGGACTGCTACTGATAGTTGCAAATGTGGTTTTAAATGCTTCTTATGGGTTATAGATGGTTTGTTGAATATCTATAGATGTACTACAAACACTTTGTTGTTGAATGTCTACAGACATTCAATTCACCTTTGGCTAAGCCACGCCCTAGAATGTAGATTGACCAATCACAGCGCAGCCAAGAACGAGCTCCCACAGACGTCGGACACTTTTTCACAGCGCTCCATTGAGTTTCAACACAGGCGTCTCATATTTTTGGTCTCGGCAGGCTATTACCGTCGTAGTTTTATCCAAAATATGGTTAAACGTTGTGCCTCGGGCATTTGTAACACAGATACACGTTTCCCAGAGAGGTTGGAGGGGGGTGTCCATTCCCAAAACCGAAGTAAAATCCTGACAAGTGTCTTGTTTGGATTAAACTGTGTGGACGTCCTCAGTCAGCTAAACCCCTCAAAGATCAACAAGCACATCTTTTTTACTTCTGACCTTACTGTGAGTGTGAAGTTATACTAGTTAGGCCGTTTTATAATGTTTTAGGTTATGATTTCGGTTCTCATGCCGGTTGTTGATACGGTAGCACACGCTGCTAATAAATACAACGTTATACTCGTGTAGTCTGTTTGCTAATAACGATTATAGAAGTGAATAGAGACCTACCCAGCTTTGCATGAACAGTGTTGCTCCCTGAGATTGTTAGTCCCAGCCTCCGTCTCCATTAGTAGGATATGCGGTGGTTCATTTTTTGACTGTGACCGGTAACGTTAGGCTTTTGCCTCTAATTTGGATGCCTTGTTGTTTCTTGCGTTTCACCTGTATGTCTTGAATATAGCCTTCGAACGCATATTGCAGCCCCTTTTGCCTACTTCTATCGGACACTTTATTTGCTGCTTTATAAAAGTTTGATAACATTTCAGCAGGAAGAGCTGTTACAGCATGCAGAAGCCATGCAGAGCGCAGATGAAGTTTGACGGATGTAGCAACAGTAACTAAGGGGGGCGGGGCTTAGCCAAAGGTGAATTATGAATTTATGATAATTTGTTGATAGTTTGTAAATCATGTACAGATGAACTGTTGAAAGTCTGCAGACATTCAGTAGAGAAATGATACTGATACTCTGTTGATACTCTGTAGAGCATCTACAGATTGACTATCCAAATAAAGTGTTACCGGCTGGGGTAAAGAGTGAGTTTAGTTGGCTGTGTAAATTGTCTTGAGAACAGTGACCTGGAGAGTTTGGAGAAATGTGTCAAAACGAATTAGAAAAAACTGTAATTTTTTAATAAATGAAAATATAAAAAAATACTTTCGCTAGACTTACAAATACAATAAAATATGACATATTAAGAGATGAATTAAATTGCTCATATTTTATGCCTTTATTTGATCACAACCATTTTTGATCATAAATTCGTATTAAATCATAAATCCAGAAGAATTATAAGAGACAACTCTAATTTCATGGGACCCTATTATTGTAAAACTTTAAATAA